TCCACACCAGCTGCTCTTAACACCAATGCTGGATGGATAGAAGATACGACGCACAGCTGTCAACACTACCGCACAACTGTTTATGAACCCTTCACCACAGAAGAAGTCTCTGATATCATCAAAGAGCTTCATAACTGGAAATCTCCTGGACCAGATGGAGTTCAAAACTTCTGGCTTAAGAAGTTCTGGAGTGCTCATGAGTGCCTGTCAACATTAATTAATCGTGTTATTTCTAATCCGCAGGAAATACCATCATTCCTAACTCAGGGAACAACTTATTTAATACCGAAGGATCAAAATAATACCCAAGATCCAGCCAAATACCGCCCAATTACGTGTCTTCCAACTCTGTATAAATTGGTCACATCCTGTGTAGCCCAGCGTATCTACCAACACTGCGCTCTAAACAATATCATAGAACCTCAACAGAAAGGATGCGCTAAGGGCTCCATGGGTTGCAAAGAACAACTTATTATCGACTCAGTCATTTCTAACCAGGCATACACCAAAAAAAGGAACCTCTTCACTGCCTTTATTGACTATAAGAAAGCCTTTGACTCAGTGCCGCATGAATGGCTGGTAAATATATTAAGAATATATAAAGTCGATGATAATATAGTGACCTTCTTAAGACATATAATGACAGATTGGAAGACTAAAATTCACCTCCAAATACCTGGTGAAAACAATATCGAAACGGAAAATATCGCAATTAACCGCGGCCTATTCCAAGGAGACTCGCTAAGTCCCTTGTGGTTCTGTCTAGCGATGAACCCACTATCCCAGCTATTGAACTCCACTGACTCAGGTTTTAGCATTAAAAACAACAACACTGTAGTGGCGAAGCTTAATCATCTGTTGTATATGGATGATTTGAAACTAATGGCTTCCACTCGAACTCACTTAGATCAAATGCTAAAAACTGTAGAAATTTTTCAAATGATATCAGTATGCACTTTGGTTAGACAAATGTCGTGTATGGGCGAAAATAACATGTATAAATATCTAGGAGTAAAGCAAGCGCGGAAAATTGACCATAAACAAATGAAAATCGAATTAACATCAGAGTTCATACGAAGGGTAAAACAGCTACTCCGCTCACATCTTAATAGTAAAAATTTGTTTAAGGCATTAAACACCTACGCATTTTCCGCGCTTAGCTACTCATTTGGCATTATTAAGTGGACTAAAACGGATATAGAAAGCTCAGAGAAAGTACGAACACACCTCACAAAGGCACAAAAACACCATCCTCGAAGTGCAGTAGAAAGAACGACATTACCACGGTATTTAGGAGGACGAGGACTTATTGATATAAGCGAGCAATTAGATAAACAGATTAATAATTTAAGAACTTATTTTCAGGTACAGGCAGAGACATCTACTCTTCATCGCGCGATTTGCGCAATAGATGACACAACACCGATCAACCTGAGGGAACAAGAAATGCGCATAAACCATCTTACTAAGAACGAAAAAATGCGCATCTGGATGGGAAAACCTCTGCACGGGCGACATCCGAATGAAGTCAGTCAAGACTATGTCGACAATATAGCGTCGAACTATTGGCTGACATCAGGAAAGATGTTCCCTGAAACAGAAGGTTCAATACTCGCCATTCAGGATCAGGTTATACCAACCAAAAATTACCTGAAATATATTGTCAAAGACCCTCAGGTCCAAAACGACAAATGCCGATATGGAAGTCAAGCCAAGAAACGATCCAACATCTTACCGGAGGCTGCCAGGCATTTGCTGCAACTGAATATAAGGAACGGCATGACTCAGTAGGGAAGATCCTCCATCAAGAGATAGCTATTTAAACTGGGACTTCTACAAACAAACCATCTCCATATTATCAATACGTTCCAGAGAGTATGCTTGAGAATGACAACTACAAGCTATACTGGGATCGCACTGTGCTCACAGACCAAACTGTAGCACATAATAGACCAGATCTCGTGCTAGTTAATAAACTAACAAGACAAACAACTCTAATCGATGTGGCGATACCTAACAACAATAATCTGCGTGTTAAGTACAACGAAAAGATCGCCAAGTACAGAGATCTGGAAATACAAATAAGAAGACAATGGAGAATGGAAAGTACCCAGACGATACCTATTATTCTTTCTACCACTGGAGTCATTCCGAAGAACCTCCTAGAAAACATAAAAAAGCTGGGTCTAAATGAACATCTATATAAGGTCATGCAGAAAGCTGTGCTACTTTCGACGTCCAGATGCGTGCGAAAATTTTTAGGAGATACACCGACGTACCAAGTCACCTAGGACTCGATAACATGGAAAGAGTCCCACCAGAGCTCAATCCTTTTGATACCGTAGGTATCTGGGATGAGTGAATTTTCCCCTTAGAGGGAGTGTGAGCCGTATGGCTAAATCTGTAATAATAATAATAATGCCTGTGGGAGTTTTATCAGCTTTTCTATTAGGCGCAGCCCCTGCGCTAGCTAGTATTCTTAGCACCAATACCCAGAGGGTAGCAGGGATACTTGCTGTGGAACAAAAACCAACAACGGGCAGTATGTATAAAATGCAATCCTATGAAAATGGTGAATAATAATTTATGCTTAGGGTCGCTGCCTGGGGATCGCCAGGGCACGTCTGGAGCCGGCGCTAGACGTGACAGCATGCGGGACGTCGGTGGCAGGGTGTTGAGGAGGTGTCATACAATCAGCTACAACTCAACAACAACAACCACAAGTAAGCCAAACAACAACAAGAGCTCCACTCGCTGAAGGTGCTGTGCTGGAACATCAACCGACGTTCACTCAAACGGGACGACCGAGACAGCGCATGAAATGAACTGTGTCTATAAATGAGACATTTTGCGTTTCTATTACAATGTGACGAACCTCGGTCGAGAAACGATCGGTTATCGACAACAATTGTATGCCGAATTTTGCAGGGAGTACCCAGAGATTGAAGTATCTGAACAGCGAATAGCAGATCAATACCGGGTAATTATAAGAAATAATCTTATTCCAGAGGCTAGACGCGATACCATCAGAAGCGAAGTCGAACGGGTTATTTATAACCAAGAGCTAGTTGTGGATCAAGTCCATAATGAAATCCCCAATGAGCAGATTCCTGAGCCCCTTATACAAGAAAATCAACCTATTAATACACAGCAGGACAACAACGAGTTGCACGATAGCCTGGTAAGAGAAATGGCACCTACCGTACAAGAGTTTAATGGTACAAACCCACTTAGCAGACCACCGCTACAAAAATAAACTCTTGTAAAGAAACTAGGTGCGCTGTTACAAATTATGAACACTGAAGTCCTACCCAATTATATAATATTTGCATATGCTGATTTACTGTGCAGCAACAGCAATTGCTAATGTAAGGGGCATTAAGATCAAAACACGCAGAGATATTTGACAAATTACGGAATATATCCAAGGAGTAAGAAGTAGAAAAGTAATTAAACGAGCTGAAGAAATAATTCTGAATACTTCATGACACTCACAACATGATCCAGAAAACTCGCAACACTGCCTAGACACATTAACAAAAACTCTCTGTTTATTCAGGTCGACTAAGGAGACACAAAGTTAGTAACAACCGTAAATGCGACAATATACTTTTTGAGCATGCAGAGAAGGCTTTCTATAGGAAACTGAATTCCACTGTAGAAAATGTAAATAAATTCTACCTAAGCCAAGAAGAAATTCATGAGTTTTGGGGAAACCAACTTTTGATGCCCGCTACTCATAACAACAATGCTGGATGGATTGAAGACACGACGAACAACTGTCAACACTACAGGAATATTCCTTATGAACTTTTCACCACTGAAGAAGTCTCGAACATTATCAAAGAGCTTCATAACTGGAAATCCCCAGGACCAGACGGAGTTCAAATCGTCTGGCTAAAGAAGTTTTGGAGTGTTCATGAACTTTTAACAGTATTTATTAATAATATTATTTCTAATTCACAGGAAATACCATTATTTCTTACTCAGGGAACCATTTGTCTAATACCGAAGGATCAAAATAGCCACCCAAGATCCAGCCAAGTACCGCCCAATTACTTGTCTTCCAACTTTTACAAATTGGTCACATCCTGTGTGGCCCGGCGTATCTACCAACTCTGGCCTCTGAACAATATCATAGAGCCTTAACAGAAAGGATGTGCTAAGGGCTCCATGGGCTGCAAATAACAACTTATTATCAACTCAGTCATTTCTAACCAGGCAGACACCAACAAAAGAAACCTTTTTACTTCCTTTATTGACTAAAAGAAGACTTTTGATTCAGTGCCGCATGAATGGCTTATAGATATATTGAAAATATATAAAGTCGATGATAATGTCGTGATCTTTTTGAAGTATATAATGGTAGAGTGGAAAATTAAAATTCCCCTTCAAATACCTGGTGAAACCAATATCGAAACTGAAGATATACCAAGATACTTTACTTCGTTTACTGCTCTAAATGATATTTTATGGAACTGTAAAAGTTGATTCTGCTTTCAATAGGAGCTTCATTCACTGCTCGTTATAGTTTATTGATGGACAGGTCTGTTCTAGTTGAGTATCATGCTGGTATCTATCTGCTATTCTGAATACTTTTGTGACAATACCATATGGCCTAATCTTTTTGTTAGAGTTGTTTTAGCAACTCTTGAGTGCAGGGATAATGGTATTCTCCCAAGATATCTTTTTACCCTCAGCTTTTACTGGTAATCCCGCATTAGTTTTATGCGGATTTTTTGTAGACCATGTCCCAGCAGCCATTTTCCCTCTTTCTTCATCCTTCTTTGTTGAGCTCCAGAGAAGCATTTTGTGATACTTTGCACAGTAGAATCTGTTTTTCTCGGAACTTTGTTGCTGAGTATTAGGGATAGATACAGCTCTTAGATATTTCCCATCGTCTATGTTATATTTTTTTGTCTTGCTGTGCATAATAATTGTTCCCACGAGTTGGGACGAAATATTGACAGACGCGCATCCCCCAGAGTTCTCAAAAATTGCTAAAAGTTAGCGTTTTTCAGACTTGTACTTACCAGAGGTATGATATAAGTTAAACAACACAATAACAACGTGGCCAATCCACACTGTATTAAAATTTGCCACGAGCACATTTCTTCTAATATTTCAAATCCTCTAAAACAAGAAATCAAACATAAATTATACAATTTGTATTTCGACACTTTACTATTTACAAGAATATTAGACTAATAGTAATAATTTGGATAAAAGCTGAAATAATCATTAAGTTATTTTATATGTATCATCTGTATACAAGATTATAAAATATTTATTAATATAATATCAAATATTGTATTATTACCTGTATATCCTTTGCAATTCGTTTACACATTTAACTAATCGAATTTCTTTAATAAGGAAAATATTTCTTATTGTTTGATTTTCATCAATATCTTTATCTACGTATTTGAATGCTTCATTTACAATCATTGTTTGGCTAATTAAATGAATAAGAGAACCAGTTAAAGCGGTATCAATGGCTAAAAAAGTCGTTTTATAATCAAATACGATATGTTAATAGATAACATATTATATAAAATTATACAGAATCCCAAACGATTTAAAAAACGCATCTCTACTTATCTATATTTATTTAGGGGAACACGTTTTCCCGCTATTTTAGACTCTGATACTGTCAGTCCTAAACAAAGATAAGCATCTTAATACTTTCAATTGGTACTGGGGTTCATGCAAGTTATCGAAGTGAAGCCAAAATGATATTTCCATATAAGACTTTGTGAAAAAACATATTTTAAATGAATATATCGTTGAATATCACTCAGACAAGAAAAAGTATTTAAGGTATACTTAATACAAGATGAAAGTATATAAAATCATCACCAAAGATATTTTAATCAATATCTGAAACAATTTTGAGAAAATAATATTAAAAAACGGAATGTGGCAGAACTTAGACGGCTGAACCAAACAACACAACCCAACAACACGGTCAATATAATAAAGAAACGCAAGCTGGAAAACTTCGGTCACATTATGAGACACCCTGAAAAATATGATCTTTTACATCTGATCATTCAGGGAAAGATCCAAGGTAATCGTGGTCCTGGTAGAAGAAGAACATTATGGCTAAAAAATCTAAGTCAATGGTACGGAAAATCAACTACATCGTTATTTAGAGCTGCTGTCAATAAAGTCACGATAGCGAATATGGTAGCCAACATGATATCCAACGATCGATAACGGTCATGGCACTGGAAGAAAAAGAAGAGGGATGTGGCACGCACGGAGCGATGGTTTTTAATTTAATTTATTTGATATGATTTCATTTGATTGGATTCCAATCGATTCGATCCAAATGGATTCGATTTGGATTAATTTGATTTGATTACAATCGATTCGGTTCGATTTCAATAAATTCGATTCGATTCCAATCGACACTATTTCAGTGGATTCGATTGGATCCAAGTCGGTTCCAATCGATTCGATTAAATTCATGTCAGTTCCAATCGATTCGATCCAAATCGACCCTCATCATCATCATCATCATTCCTCAACCTCTTGCATCCACTGTTGGATATAGGTCTCCTCCATGTTCTTTCACTGTTCTCTATCTTGCGCATTCTGTATCCAATTTCCGACTGTTTTTCTCAAGTCGTCCATCCATCTTTTTGGTGGTCTGCCTCGGTGTCTTTTGTCTTCTCTAGGTCTCCATTCTATGAGTCTTTTGGTCCACCTATTATCATTTAAACGTGCTATATGTCCAGCCCATGTCCATTTGGCTTGTGCAATTTTTCCTATGACATCTGTCACTTTAGTCCTCTCTCTCACTATCCTATTTGGTACCATATCTCTTCTAGTTATTCCCAACATTGCTCTTTCCATTTTTCTTTGGGTTACTCTCAATTTATTTGCAGAATGTTTGGTTAAAGTTATTGTTTCGGAACCATATGTTATTACTGGCAGTATGCATTGGTTGTAAACCTTTTTCTTCAAGCAAATCGGTAGCGTTCCTTTTAGAATATCTCGCATCTTGCCAAATGCTGCCCATCCCAAGCCTATGCGACGCTGGATCTCACAAGTTTGATTGTCTTTTCCTATTCTAATTTCATGCCCTAAATAGATATAGCTAAAGACCTGATGTACTTCGTTCCCATCTACCCTCATAACATCACTTGGAACTAAATTGGTCATGTATTTTGTTTTTTCAAAGTTTATGTTCAGGCCTATTTGTTCTATTGCCTGTTTTAGTTCTTCCATCATTTTGTGAGCTTCATTTAAACTCTCGGCTATAATGACAATATCATCTGCAAAACGCAAGTGGCTTAAGTATTCACCATCAATATTTATTCCCCTTTTAGCCCAATCTAGTTTTTTAAAGGCATATTCCAGAGCTGCAGTGAATAGTTGGGGGGAGATGGTGTCGCCCTGTCTAATTCCTCGCTCAATTCTATATTTATCGGTAAAGTCATGGAGTTTAACAGATGCTGTTGCGTTGTTGTATATATGTTTTATCAAATTTGTATATCTATAGTCTACTCGGCTTTGTTCTAATGCTCCTAATACTGCCGGTAATTCCACGGTATCAAAAGCTTTCTTGAAGTCTATGAAAATTAACGTGAGTGGTTTATTATATTCAACACATTTTTCAATTAGTATTTTAAGTGCTTGTAGGTGGTCATTTGTTCCATAACCTTTCCTAAACCCAGCTTGCTCCTTAGACTGATAGAAATCTAATTTTCGTTCTTCCAAACCTCCTTTCGTCCAAATCGACCCTATTCCACTCCAATTAATTTGATACCAATCGATTCGTTTCGATTCCAATCGATTTGATTTAATTCAATTAGATTCCAATCGATTCGATACCAATCGATTCTATTCCGATCGAATTGATTCCAATCGATTCGATTAGATTCCAATCAATTCGATTTCAATCGATTCCGTTCAATTCGATTCAATTCGATTCAATTCGAGTCGATACCAATCGATTTGATTCGATTCAATTCAATTCGATTTGTTTTGGCAACATGGCAGAGTACATCGCACACGTTAAAAATGCTGTAATAAATAAAATTTGTCTAAAGTGTTCAAAAAAACTTATAAGAGCTTTAACTAGTATAAAACGCAATAGTTTTTATCATCCTAGTTGTGCAAAATATTTAAATCATGTGAAATTTATAAATAAAAATTACATTGTTTGTTGTGAAGTAGAGGATATATCTAAAATTGAGCGATGATTTACTAGATACGATTCAGCAGGTTTCGATTAACAATAAGATAGACATAAAAATATTTAATTATAGTAATAAACAAAAAGACCTTATTATTAATGTCTGCAATAAAGGTGTTAACAGACCATATCAACTTTTTGTATCATCAAAAAAGGAAATCTCATGTTTATCAATGAAGATAAAAAACCTGTGGATAAACAAGTATGGAGTCTTATGTAATTAGCGATTTCTCTCATCAATCAGACTCAGGTGGGCAAGGCGTCGCAATATTTGTAAAAAATACAATTTTCGTTACGACAAAGATTTGGTCTTAAAATTAATGGAAAGAAAACAAAATAATGGTAATCACGAAAAAGAATACTCCAAACATAAATATATTAATAGATGATATACTATTTAAACAAGTTAAAAAGTTTAAATATCTAGGATATTGGATATATGTTACCATGACCAAGAAGTAAAATGTTAAACAAAATAGGCCAGAAACGTATTTCTAAATATTAAAAAAATTTTCACCAACCGAGATCTTGGTACAACTCACGATATCTCATAATAAAATGCTATATACACTTCATCTAATTTATATAACGATTCACGTCATCGGCGTCATAGCCTTACATGATACCAACACAAAATATTTAGGGTGTAGGTGTGTTCTTTTTTAGAATCACTTTACCGAGTACACTGACATTACAGCCACTAGACATATTTTATTATATACGCGTAGAAATAATATTTAAAAATTTCTATTAATGTTAACTTAAAGAAATACACAATAATATGTTTCATTTAATTTGTATAAATGCATTATAAAGCGTTTTTATCAAGAACATATTTGTTCGGAACACACTGTAAGTGTAATCGAACAAAGCTAAAATTTTGGCATAAATTGGTAACACTTATTTGACAGTTGCGGTGTTGACACTTTTTGTACTTCATTATTTTGAATTTTAAAGTGAATATCTCTTGTTTTATATTTTTAACTATTTAATAAAATCTGTTCTTTTTAGAACAAAATTAGTGTGTTTTATTTCAAAAATGTCACGTAAGAATTTAAATAGTCGTTGTAAAGAGATGGTAATACTTTTGCAATAATTATGTAATCTATTTGATTTAAAATGGAGTCAGGATTTTTTTATACTTTGGCAACTATGTCAACTTTGATCTCTGACGTAGATAATGACGTAAGTCGTTATCTAAATTAGATGAAGTATAGGTACATAAGTATTCTACTACTACACAGCATGAAAGTCTGTATGCTGACAATTATCTCGTTATGACGCAACGCCTGGAAAAATTTGAGATGTGGATAATCCGCCACATTCTAAAAATTCTATTGGATGGATAGATGGATAGTTTATTTGACTGTAAGTTACAACAAGGTGTACAGCAAGTCAAAAGTATAATTGTAAATATTAAACATTACAAAAAATGGAAACAGTACGTTAAAAATATTTAAAACATTTAAAATACATAAAATCGTACAATATAGAAATCGTTATCTAATTAAAATAATATTAAACCATGGACATGCACCAATCATGTTAGAAATGAAGACATTTTCAGACGTGTGAATTAAGACCTGAACTTGTACAGATTATTAAAAAATGGAAAACATTGGAGAAATATTCAGACACGGTAGATATATCTTCCTTTAACTAATAATGAAACAAAAAAATAGAAGGAGAGCGTAGTTCTGACAGATGACAAATGACCTGGCTGCGCAACATGAAGGATTGGACAGAACTAGACCTCAAAACCCTCCATTACAGACGGCATCTAAAGAAGATGTCAAGTCACTGTTGTTAAGATTTCCTTAGCAATTGTTTTTCTTAAAAAAAACGTTTTTTTTTCAAAGCTGTTTGTTGGTATAACTTGTCGCAATGAGCTGTGCGGCCTAGTAAGCCAATATCATAGCCACTGAGCTACCATGAGTACTGAGAGATCATGGAAGGTACACTACTCGTTACAACATATCGTTTGATTTTCAAATTGAATCGGTTACTAGGAATTTTCTCAATTTTAATTTTTGTAATAATTTACGAAACTTCTGAGTTGGTTGATTTTTGACATAAAGCAGTTGAACTGGTATTATTTTACTTCAAAATAAAAAAAAATATGTTTGAGAAATTAAATGTTTTTAAAACAGTTTCTAATAGTCTAAGATTCACTGCAAGATTACTAAAAACTCACATTTTTAAATACACTGTAAATATATAAGAATACATCGATAACAGGTTGCCAGTCAAAAAATCGCCGCAAATAGTTTTAATTCAATTTATCTATTAAAAACGTGAGGTATCAAAGATAAAGATCCCCTGGAGAAGATGGTATACCCCTAAGCTATTCAAATATGGAGCAAACCATATTTGAATATTATTATTATATATATTATATATTATATATTATATATATATATATATATATATATATATATATTATATATATATATATATATATTATAACACTTATTCACAAGAAAGGGAATATGTGACAACTATCGAGGCATTACCCATCTAAATACGGCTTACAAAGTACTAGCCTATATACTTTATGATCGATTACTAGTAGATACTGAAGAAAAAATAGGCAAATACCAATATGGATTCCGAAAAGAAAGGTCAACAATTGATCAGATTTTCCTTCTCAGACAAACCTTAGAAAACACATATGAATATGGAATTGATACACATCACCTCTTCATAGATTTTAAAAGTGCTTATGACAGTGTAGACAGAAGCGCACTTAATGACAAGAATGTCATGGCAGAACTAGATATTCCGTTGCATCTAATAACATTGGTAAAGGTAACTCTTTCGAAAGTTGAGTGCAAAGTCAAGGTACAAAACAGAGTCTCAAGGTCTTTTTAAATACATACTGGATTACGTCAGGGAGACAGTCTATCGTGTCTATTGTTTAACATCGAGCTAGAAAGAGCCATAGAGAAATAGGACATAACAACCCGAGGTACGATGATCAATAGAAGTCTACAGATATTGGCCTACGCAGATGACATTGACATAGTAACACGGACAAAACGAGACCTGATACAGGCTTTTGAACATTAGAAAAGCCGCGAAGACAATGGGACTGCAGGTGAACGTATCCAAAACAAAATACATGAAGGTCACGAACAGCACACAAATAGCGGCACCACAAGATCTGGTGACAAAAGCACACATATTCGAAGGGGTCTCGGAGTTTATATATCTTGGAACACAACTAAATAACAGGAACATAGTAAGCGTAGAAATTATGAGAAGAATATACCTGGCGAACAGAGCTTACTTTGGACTAAAGCAGTTCTTAATATAACACATAATTAGCAGAAAAACCAAGATACTAATATATGAAACTCTTATTAAACCTGTCCTGACATACGCGTCAGAGACATGGACTATGATAAAAAGTGACGAAGAACTGTTAGGCCGCTTTGAAAGACGAATACTTAGACACATATACGGAGGAGTACAAGAAAGCGGGATATGGCGCAGGCGCAACAATTTTGAGTTGTATCGATGCTATAAAAAATGCAACATCGTCCGGTCTATTAAAATTAATAGACTAAGGTGGCTAGGATACCTTGAAAGAATGGACACTGGAGACCCCCAAAGACAGATATTCTATCAAGAGCCAGTAGGAACCAGGAAGAGAGGCAGGCCAAGATCTACATTCAAAACTCAAGTCGAAGATGACTTGAGGAATCTAGGGGTCAGAAATTGGAAAGCCAGGGCGAAAGATAGGGGGGAATGGAGACTAATTCTTGAACAGGCCAAGGCCCACCTAGGGTTGTAGAGCCAAAGATGATTATGATCAAAGATAAAGTAAAATAGACTTATTACGCAACGACACTGGTTTGACATATGTATATCAAAGAATATAGACGCATATATAGACGCATACATAGACACATATATAGACGCATATATAGACGTGTATATTATTAATACTATCGACGCATGCTTTCAAAACTCACACAACTAACACTAGCCATGTCAAACCAGTGGCGTTGCACGCTAGCTGTCTTTTACTTTATCTTTATTACCTCACATTTTAAACAGCTGGCAACGTGGCAACCCTAATTTGTTATTATTTTTTCATGTAAGTCATAAACATCGTATTTTATTTAAACAATATCATCATCATCTTGGTGCTACAGGCCTTAGAGAGCCTAGACCTTTTCAAGTTTCTACGCCATGCTGTTCTGTCCCTTGCTTGCATTTTCCAGTTGCCGACTCCGATCTTCTCTTTAAACAATAAATGAACGAAATTTTTGTTCAAAAATTAATTTCCATTAATTAAATTATTGATTAATTAGCTTTAATTTATACAAAAAACATACATATACGTAATGATCAGCGTATTTTATTTAAATAATAAATGAACGAAATTTTTTATTTAAAAATTAATTACCATTAATTAAATTAAAACTATTTGCGGCCACTTTTTACTGGCAACCTGTTATCAATGTGTTCTCCTATTCTTAAATTTGTGCAAAATTTTGTTCTGGTTCTTATTTCTTCTTTGTTGCTTGAATATAATTTTTGTTGTTGGTGTATATTCCACTGTCTACTTCTTACTGGTGCATGTGGGGTGTGTGTTATTTTTTTTTTGTTCTTTGAGGCATACTCTGTAATTGTCAGTGTGGGCTTCGCCACAGTTTGTGGATTTTGGATCAGTGTTTCTGTCCTTTGTGCATTTGCTGCTGGATGTGTTCTTTGTCGTATTTGACGCATTTAGTTCCACAGTGGCACGATTTGGATTCACGGTAGTGATCTTTGCAATTATAGCACTGCATAACTTCTTTGCTTGTTCTTAGTTCTTCTTCTACGTGTATTTTCATCTAGCAGAGATTTGTTATGCTTCTTAGTTTTTCTGTTTCTTCTTCTTTTATTGTGACCAGGAACAGTGGCAGGACTTTTTGGTTTTTCTTTTTAAAAATCATTTTTGAGACTTTAATTACCTCAATACCTTCTTCTTTGAGTTCTTGATGGATTTTTGTTGTTTTTGTAGTTTCGTGTAATCCTCTAATTACAAATATTGTTCTTCTCTCTTGGTATATTCGGTATGCAATGTATTCAATAGGGTTCTATTGACTGTACTATTCCAGTATCTTGACCATTGAAAGATCATAGCATTCTCTGTGACTCGTCTGTATAATTATAGATCTTCAGGATTTAGCGAATTTGTTCGCCGATCATATTCCTTTTTGTGCAGCTTTTTGCAGGATTTCCTGGGTTTTACAAACGTTTTGATGATGATTGTTCTTTTCCATTTGTTGCATCTTTTGTCTCTACACGTGGTTTGGTATGTTCATTTTTGATTTAACTTTTTTGCATTCTTTTCGATTTCATCGTGATGTTCTTTTTCTTATCTCTTTTTTAGCATACGTCTGGGTACGCAAGTATCTTCTTTTCGCTTCTATATTTCTTGTATCTGTTTAGCAACATTGGTCGTTTTTGTTTTGGTTTTTCTACTTCTGTATTCTTTTTTTTAAGTTGACAGTTTCGTTTATTTTTTCCTTTTTAAATTTGGTGAATTGTCCAATCAGCATTATCGTTATTTTTTGTTTGTATATGACATCGTCTACTGGTATTGGGTCTTCCCAGTTCTTGGGTTTTTAATTGTTTTTCTGTCATTTTTTTATTTTGTTTCTGTTTTTCAGTTTGTATTGGTTCATTATTTCCTATTGCTAGCGGCTTTTGTAATGCTGCTATCATATCTGATCATTCGAATACCTTGTGGGTATTTTTTTTTGTTACTAAGTCTACGTTATTTACATTTACACTTATTTGATCTTCACTGTCACTATGGACAATGTCGAAGGATATATCACTATAACTAGTATTTATCATGTATAATTAATTAAATAATAATTATCTACTGTAATATTATACTACTAAACGAATCTTTAGAATTTGTTTCTTGTAAGAAGTCAGTATTACTGATATTTATTTTATTGTCAACTGTTTGGTCAGATGGACCTGATTTTTTTACTGATGTTTTAAACAAACTCTAATTGTATTATTTAATGTATTTACATCATCTGAAGGGCCTATTTCTAATTTATTCCTATTTTAGTTTATTACGTCTATATAACTTGATTCATTGTCTTCTATTTCTTTTAGTCAACCATTTACCGTAAAGTCAAGCAGATGGTCGTAAATAATATAGTCTACAAATTCATTTGATTCGTTTTTTTTCATTTTATGTACTTACTTTAGTGGTCATCTGATAACTAAGATGCTCGTTTTTAGGCCCAAGGCCTTGCGTCTAAATACTTTGATAGTTTTTTGACATTATCTTTGAAATATGATGAAAAATGAATACTTACTTATAAACATTTGCAGTAGTAAAGTTCTAGGAATGACAGGAAAAATACTTAACCAGACATGACCGTCTAATGAAGTATCAAATGGCAAATACACTTCAAAGGAGTTTTTTCTGTACAAGGATGTTTTGTTTAAGTACGGATTAAATTTCTCATATAACTCAGCTGCACTATCAGCAATGATCCAAACTATAATTGTTTCCAGACATATTACAACTAGAAATAAATAAAGGGCGCAACACAACATTCTAGCATAAAATAATACTTTCTTGCGGTATAACTGAAGGTTGTCACTAGAAAAAAAGAAAAAGTCGATCTTATTATTATATAAAACTGTAGTATATTGGAACGTTCTTAACAGATATATATATATATATATATATATATATATATATATATAATATATATATATATAATATATATATATATATATATAATATATATATATATATATATATATATATATATATATATATATATATATTATATTGTTATGGTTTAGATAATGGTTTTTTTAATTTAGTAGAAAGTAGGCAGATAGGAGAATAGATAATATTAGTATATTAGATTAAAACAGTAGAGGAATTCTCATAAACGATAAATGCTAATAGCAGAAAGATAGCAATTTTAGAATATACGGTTAAAGTCTTTTGTTTACAAAGAAATTGGACAAAGAATTAGAAAGTTTTGCCGTCAGGAATAAGTATACAATAACCAAAGTAGTACTAGCTGTATTATTTCTTGAAACTTGAAAACAAAGAAAAGATCTTATTTATGTGAAATTTGGAAATACCAAAGTTATGTGATATCAGAATAGCATTGAATTTGACAATTGAAATTGAAGTGAAGGAAGTCATGTTTTGCCCGGGAAAAGGAAGATTACTGTGATTTAAATGTCGGAAGAAGCAAGTTGTTTTTGTTCCACATTATGTAGTGCAAGTTAGCAGAGCTCTTGTCAAACAATAATTGCGAAAGGTGTTTGGTGTCTGTGGAACAAGCCTGAAGGATTGGTAACAGTGTACAATAAAAATACATCCTGTAATAAACAAACAGGTATTATTTGGTACTAGTCGACTAAGTGAAAATTCCTACGACTAGAAAGAAATTCTGTTTCTGTGAGATAGGAGTTTGGTCCAGGAGCGTTTGAAGAGACTGTTGCGGCGATAGTGTGTGCGAGAGACGTTGATAAGCAGAGGAGATAGCAGGCATGTATGAATTCACTAATCACTGCACTGTCACTACTGCAGTGATTAGTGAACAGTGTAGTAGTGTCTGGGGGCTCGGGAGACTGAGACCTCGGAAGCTCTGAGGAAGGCATCAGAGAGGATGCCGAATGCTCGGAAAAATGCATATCGACGCGGTTCAACCCGGAAGACTGGTGAGTTTAATATTAAATTTTGTAATAATATTAATCTTAGCTCTAGGTTTCATTGTACTAACCGCGGAAATCTTTCTGATCAAATATATATATATATATATATATATATATATATATATATATATATATATATATATATATATATATTAAACCAAAATTGTTAATTGCAAAAGATTTTTTTAATGTTACACAGTAATATTTAATCTTAAATAAAATAGTTTCTAAAATAAAAATTTCAGGTGAATATAACAGGTACCTTTTTTTTGAAAACACTGGATTGATTTGTTTCCAAATCTGTGACAAGTGCTTATATTCATTTCTATCATCAATATTAAGTTTCAAACCCAAACAAAAAGCGTCTGCATAGTTGATAGCAATAATTCCAAAACACGTAAATCCAAAGTCATCTCGTCTAATAATAACTTTAACTTCCTCCAGCTTTACTTTCGTTAACCAATACATTGCAAGTCGACAAGACAAAATGGTGTCAAATAACGCCATAACTATGAAAATCATCAGAGATTTAAACTCTCCGTCATATTTATCAAACACATTCATCCAACTGAGAAGATTTAAGAACCATGAACATAAAGAAAGCATAATAATTGATAAAAGGAGATAAATGTATCTATTTGGAGATTTTGTGGGAGGTTTTAAACCGAGAAAAAACATGTAGTTATCTAACCAAGAAAAGAAGTCACTGGGAACATATTTCTCAAATCGATAAATTATGTCATTAACAACCATTTTGATATCACGAGAAAGAAACTGTTACAGAGAGATATTATTGTTTTTTTAAATTCATTTCATGTAAGTAATCGATTTCATAATTAATAACTGTACCTACTTATCAAGTTAAGTATCTTCATAGTAATATGATTTATAAAGAAACTGCTTTTAAAATATAGTGGCTTGCAGTATAGGGTGATTTTCTAAATTATTCCATAGCATTTTAACTCAAGAGTAGACTTCATTTGTAAAATGTTTTAAACTTGTGTTTTTGCAATAAAATAAATATTGAGAAATCAGAAAGATAAAAAGTTCTAAAAATATTTATTGATATTGGCTTTAAATTGGTTTTGTCTTCAAGAAGACTAAAAATATTCTTTTTGTGTAAATTTTATTGTATTCATTTACGCTGATTTATAAGATAACGGCAAATTTTGATAATTGTTTTTATTCTTCTTTGAATATTTTTTGAATAAAGAATACAATTTTTTGTAATATACTATTTTTATTATTATCCTTTTTCTCTATGCCGATAAAGGACAACTAGGAAATCTTTGGACCCACACAACATAGGTTAATATAAGGAGAGTTTTCACCCTGAGAACAGTTATGTTTTTTGATTTTCTGATGTTTATATATATATATATATATATATATATATATATATATATATATATATATATATATATATATATATATATAAGTATAGTAAACTCTTAAATATTGGGGAAATCTGCAAGAAAAACTCTAATGTGTATCAATCGTTTCGCCGAACGTTTTCGCCAAAGAGAATTAATTTGGCTTCTTCACGGCCGAAAGGGAATAAATTATAATTAGCTACCATATATTATCTATTAAAAAACATTATTTATCTTACCGTAACTTTTAGAAATGTCGAGTTAGGATGTTAAAAAACTTAGCTAGTAAACTTTCCTACGAAGGAAAGGTCAGTGATTTTCTGTTCAGAATTGAAAATTTTGTAACTGTGAATGAATTTTGTTGACGTTATTGTCGTTACCATTTCAACTCAAGAGTGAACTTCATTTGTAAAATGTTTTAAACTTTTGTTTTTGCAATAAAATAAATATTGAGAAATCAGAAAGATAAAAAGTTCTAAACAATACATAATTGTTTACTTAAACTTATTCGCTGAAAATTGTACAATGGTAATTCACTCTATAAAATATTGCGGTTACCATAACTCCCAAATAAATTAAAATCAAAAAAATGTCATTTATTTAAATTGGATATGTTATCAAAATTTAAATTTTTAATCTTGTTGTAAGTATTGAAATATTCATTTTGTTTACATATAATAATTATAATAAATTTACAGTTTTCTCCTGAAGAAGTCACAAAATCGTGACGAAATATTGAGAAATAACAAATAGAGTTTCATTTCATATATACTGTTATATATATATATATATATATATATATATATATATATATATATATATATATATATTTAATTTTTATATTTTTATTAGACATTTGACACCAGGATACATGTAAGATATATCTTGACGGTCCCATACTTGATTAGGTACACAGGAACGTTTCCTCTTGTGTACATCTACACCTCTTCCTGAATTTTTTTTGATGATTTTGATAATAATCTTATATAACTAATAGTTTTATTAAAGGAATAAGACAGTATCCATCATTATAATTTACCTAAATGTCCTATCCAAATAAAAGATTACCTCGATATTAGGAGAACAGGGAACAATCTTCCCCCTAGGGTTCTACCAAGGCATTAATTTATATAAAACACAACAACACTAGGTCACGAAGAGGGGGAAGTTATGCAAAAATGTTTAAAACAAAAGTAACAAGATTAACTAAAAAATTTTAGAGAATTATAATGATAATTTGATGTCTTTTAAAAATTTAATTAAAGAGTTGTAAACATCTACAGAGTCAAGTGATAATAATAAATATAGTATGTTTCAAGGAGCTTGTATTTTATATTTTAATTTTTAAAAATATATGATCTAAATCACTTTCCTCTCCACAATGCTCACATTTGTCATCATCCAAAACCTGTATTTTACATAAGTGTTTTGGGTAACATGTGTGCCAGAATCATATTCTAATAATTGAAAATTATGTGCCTCCTGGAAGCTCGACAAGACTTGTACCAAGGAAATTTAGGAATATCTGGCTGAATTAACGAGTATTTCTTTCACTGGTAGCTCTACTCTCGAAGCAATGTTGACTTGCAAAAAATAAAATTATCAGAAAGTGTTACTTTATATAGAATACCAGTATCAGTTGAAATGCTTTCTTTGGCTAATAAGTCGACATATTCATTATGTTCAAATCCTGCATGTGCTTTAATCCAGAGAAAATGTACAATTGATTCCTTTGATTCCTTTTGTGATACATGGTATACAGCCAACTACAGGAACTTAGTTTCCTTGCGCATCCTTGTAAATACCTTCTACTTTGTTCCGTTTTGGTCAAGATCTATCATTGTTAATTGATAATAATAGGTATTATTAGTAATGTACAATATTTATTAATTACTGTATTATTATTGTATTAATTATTAATATAATATATTACTGTCTTACTAATCGCTTAATGATACCTGAATCGTCGGTCCCAAGTTGCAGAATGACGCAATTCATGTATCACTTTGCCCATGTAATTTTTTTAATCAGAGGTAAATGGCACTTTTAAAGGCGTTTACAATTAACAAAAATAGTTATTACTTATAATAGGTAGAAACAAAGTAAAGCTGCTAGGTAAATTAAACTAACAGAAAGCACTCTACTTCTGTTTTTTTTAATTGCCTATCCGCTCCGGATATTATCGATCCGCATCTTCTTCTTCTTTCAGTGCCCTGTCCGATTATCGAACGTTGGCGATCATATTGGCAATAATAACCTTATTCACAGCGGCTCCAAATAAATTAGCGGTGGTTTCTTGATACCATTCTCGGAGATTTCGTAGCCAGGATGTTCTCCGTCGGCCTGGGCCTCTCCTTCCGTCCACCTTACCCTGTATTATGATGTGTAGAAGGTTATTCCTTTCTGGATGTCTTATTACATGACCGAAATATTGTAACTTCCGAATTTTTATCGTT